ATTCCATATGGGCTTCAGGTCAGGCATGTTGGCTGGCCAATCAAGCACAGTAATCCACTTGGAAGTGGTTTTGGCACTGTGGGCAGGTGCTAAAGTCCTGCTGGAAAAGGAAATCAGCATCTCCATAAAGCTTGTCAGCAGATTGAAGCATAAAGTGCTCCAAAATCTCCTGGTAGACGGCTGCATTGACTTTGGACTTGATAAAACACAATGGACCAACACCAGCAGACGTCACGGCACCCCAAATCGTCACTGACTTCGGAAGCTTCACACTGGACTTCAAGCAGCTTGGATTCTGTGCCTCTACAGTCTTCCTGCAGACTCCAGCTCTTGATTTCCAAATGAAATGCAAAATTTACTTGAGGACTGAAAAGAGGACTTTGGAGCACTGAGCAACAGTCCGGTTCTTTTTCTCCTTAGCCCAGGTAAGATGCTTCTGACGTTGTTTCTGTTTCAGAAGTGGCTTGGTAGCCCTTTTCCTGAAGACGTCTGAGCGTGGTGACTCTTGATGCACTGACTACAGCTTCAGTCCACTCCTTGTGAAGCTCTCCCAAGAGTTTGAATCGGCTTTGCTTGACAGTATTCTCAAGTTTGCGGAAGCAAAAACAGTATTCCCCTGTTGCTTGTGCACCTTTCCCTACCCAATTTCTTTCTTCCAGTCAACTTTGCATTTAATATGCTTTGATACAGCACTCTGTGAACAGCCACCCCTTTCAGTAATGACCTTCTGTGACTTACCCTCTTTGTGGAGGGTGTCAATGATCGTCTTCTGGACCATTGCCAAGTCAGCAGTCTTCCCCATTATTGTGGTTTCAAAGAACAAGAGAATTTATACTAGGGATGGTCATTTAATGAAACTTAAATGTAAATATTGTAATATTTTGAGATACTGGATTTTTGACTTTCATGAGCTGTAAGCTCTAATCATCAAAATTAAAACAAAAAAACGTTTGAAATGTTTTACTTTACATGTAATGGATCTAGAATATATGAAAGTTTCACTTTTTGAAATGTTACAAAAAAATTAACTTTTTCACGATATTCTAATTTTTTGAGATGCAGCTGTGTATATATATATATATAAAGCAATACTTGATGGATTTTAGTATTAAACACATTTTATTAAGCATTTTTGAATACACATATACAAATACATATACACAAAATGCATACGTTTACAGAACATAGGGTAATGTCAGTCTTTTTATCACAATCCCACGAAACCCTTGCAATTTCACAATGAACCTCTATAGGGGCTTCAGAGACAAGTAATAGATTGTAACCAATTATACATTCAAAAAGAAATCAAACCTAAATAAATAATCATAAATAACACAAATTGTAACATACAAACTGTAACATTTCTGTACATTAGATTAAAATCAATTAATTTGAATTATATGTAGGCTATGTATGCATGTACAGCATCTCACAGAAGTGAGTACACCCCTCACATTTTTGTAAATATTTTATTATATCTTTTCATGTGACAACACTGAAGAAATGACACTTTGGTACAATGTAAAGTAGATGTCTACACGGAGGACCCGGGACCCGACCCGGGATTCGTACAGGTTCGGGGCTATATTTTAAATGGTCAGCCGGGTCCGGGTCGGATCCCAATCTATTACTTCGGGTCCCGGGTCCCGGGTCTGTTTAACATTGTGTGTAATACCTGAGTCGATCGGACTCGGACAACACCCGGCCATAATCAGAGTCAGTCAGCGCTGTGCGTGTGTTGTTTTGTAACTTTCAACTTGTAAAATTAGGATGAGAAAAGTGTGAGTCAGTAATTTGAAATAAGGTGAAAAAAAACAACAAAAAAACACGAGCGACGTCATCAGAAGCA